GACGCTTGTCAAGCCCTTTCGGTGAAAGCGGAGGAGAGGGACGGGGGCCCTTAACCAGCGTGGAGCCGTCTACCCCTCTGTTGAATGGGTTTCTGTTTCCGGAGCATCATACATTGAGTCCTCTTCGTTTCGCAGTGACGCATCTTGTTCTCTCGGTACACACGTTTGGCAAGTGCAAATCCATCGACGGCTACACACCTACGTGGTGCATCAGGGGCGCATTAGCAGAAGGCCCACGAGCTGAAGCCACTGCGGGTCCAATAGCTTTAGAGGGGGGAGCTCTCGTTGTTCCGAAGCTCAGTGGCAACGCTAGAACTCTTTATCGCTGTGATAACGGTTGCAACGGGCACAGAACACAACCGTCAATCGCACACACTTTTTGACCCAGTCGAGGAAATGAGAGTCACGATACTTGACCTTCGCATGGCCCGCGAAAGCACCGGCGCCTTTCTAGAGAGAGGCTTCGCCAGGTGCTTGTTGATGCCGATCGCGGTCCCTTTACTCGTAGTTGCCACCAACAACTTGCTAGGCACTCGTTGCTGGCAAATACGAGTGAAGTAGTTAGGGACTCCACGGTAGCTCCTCGAGAGCCTACATTGCTTCCTGCTTACTTTTATCTCGAAGGATTTGCCACCTACTCGCATTGGGGGTAAAATGCTTTTTGTGATTTTAGCCAGCTCCTGACGCGTGCCAAACCGCCGAGAGCCCACACTACCTGCTCCGTGAAGTTTGCGGGCACACCTGGATGGCCACAGCAGCTGGCGCAAGCAAACCATGTACAATCTGATGATGTCGCAGACCTTCGGCAGAACCCATCTGCTTCTGTGGCGCTGCCGTTCGGTACACGGAATCCAGTACGGTGTTAGCATCAACGGAACGGCAAAGCTGCAGCGCGGCTGGGGTAATGCAATGTGGGACCAATGTGGGGGCAACAGCTGGACGCAATCTGTGGACGCCACAGTAGTCAGATGAGCGAGGTCTATGGTGGCCCGTTACGCTGATGTTAAAGCACCTGACAGTTCGGCAACTCATCTCCTCAACTACTCGTCGTGTGAGAACTCCCAGCCGAGAGAGTAGGAAACACTTCATCCCCTCTCCAGCTAGCCCCTGGCAAGGAAACGCCACGGCCTGTGCAAAGCAAACTGCCTAAGGGTTAAATACGGCTTCGCAGCTTCTGCTTTGGGCGGACGAAAATTCGCTACGAGAAGATCAACCCAGTAGATCGATCCGTACGCACGTGGGGCTCCCCGAGCCAAAAGCTAGGATATGCAACCTAAAGGGGCTGACTCCTCTAGTCCAACGTATCCAAAAACGCGTGCGTTTTCCTTCACCAAGCAAGGGAATCATCAAGAGCCGGCTTCATCTAATGGCTGTCCGAATAGGGACATTTTAGAATTAGAAATTTCGCATTGACACGCAAGTCAAGCACAACTTGCGCAGAGAGAACTATTGCAGCATGCTCATTGCATTCACTTTCGCCGCTGTAGCCAAGCGACACGAGGAATTCGCGAGAATGCGACCTGTGTCCCGGAACATGCACAAGTGCTGAAGGTTTTGGGGTACATCTGGACTGGCTGTAACGTTGCAACGTACGCACTGTACGACGCAGGATGCCGACGAGAGACCGGGAGAAGTGGTGAAGCCTACTACTGGTAGCATGTGCAGCCCCTTACCAGGTCTAGACCGCCCCACCTCACCGCTTCACGAGCTTGAAGGCGAAGAAGCTAAGAAACATCGGGAGTGTCAATTGCTTAAATCTTTTATTCATGCGTCCAAGACCTAAAAGTCGAGTGCTCATGCTGAGCGACCGACGTAGTTGCTGATGGTCACTCAGACTCCTCCCATTACCAAGACGGCACAGCGGGGGACCGCACACAGTCAGCCATCAACTCGTGCAGCAAGGGCTGCAGGGCTCTCCTTCTGTGGCTAGCTGGCAGCGGAAACCCCCGACGAATTTCTAGCTTTGGGAGTTATACCTCTTGAATATTGGAATAAATGTAAGCACTCGACGGTAGCGCTTCTGGTTTCATAGTATTTCAGCGCGCTTATAAGAATATGCGCGGTATCTGGGGCCATTCACTTCCACCAGCTTCCTCTCCGTGTTTTTCGCTCCCCAACAGAGCCGAATTCCGAAAAACATTCCAGTGAAGGACTCAAGCATTACAGCATACCCATGCTCAGGAGGGGTAATCCAGCTCTATACGGCTTTCGCAGTGCAGCAACTTAACAGCAGGTTTAAGAAACCTTCTGCAGTCGAACGAGCAGATGACCCTAGTGCAACAGCTTGCCAGGGACGGTGAGTTCATACTGCTTCGCAAACACGTTATGGTTCGTTTCCAGGAGCTTCGTCATCTATATGCTGCTCCAGATTGGGCTCGCCGCTAGCATATGATGGATCAAGCACATGTTGAAGCATACCAGGCAAGGTGCGCTTTCTGTAGCCAGCAGCAACACCAAACCGCCAGCCGCGCTTTGTACCATCTGTAAAAATTCTATACAGACTGAGAAAGCCGGGATAGAAGCTGGCGTTACCCCCCTCTATGCAGCAGCATAGCGTTGTGAATGCTTTGCCTTTCCAGGACAAGCTGAGCGCACGACAGATCCTGCTTCCTCAATATTCGCAACCGATTTATGAAGAAGGTCTTAAACGTGGAATATGGGCTACATGAGATCTCAAATGTAACTAAAGAGTTGCAGCGACGTAGGAGCGAGGAGGCAGTTTGGGAGGCTCTATAACGAGATTCCCTGATATTTCGGTATGCTTAACTGTCTGCACCCCGGCCCTCCCACGCGAATGCCAAACGGTCTCCTGTACCGAGTAGACGGTAAGCCGGAAAAAGAAAAACTGCATCTCCCAAACCATCTCGCAATGCCGCTCCGGCATACATTCCCGTGCGTAACATGTGGGCACGCGCCGGTCAGGCGCGTGCCCACATGTTACGCACGGCAATGTATGTGGTTACTACTTAGTATAATCACACCAACACTTCGGTGCTCGTTGCGTAACCGTGAGGGTTAATTGAAGAGTGGAGGCGTGGGGGGGTGCTTATTCATGTTTATCGAGTAAATAATTGATGAACGTATTAAATATTGTTTACGAACACACATATTGGGGCTCGCATGATATATACAGGGGCTCGCATGAAACGTGGTTCAAAAGGTGTTGCAACATGCCAGGCCGTCTCTTCTCCCACCCCGAAAGGCCGCAGTGTCAGGTCTAGTGGGTTTGCGGAACACAATAAATTTGGGAAAAGACAAAATAAAAACCTCCTTTAAGTTTTGGTAGATCTGTCATCCTGCTGTAACAGACGGGATGCCCGAGGGTGAGTAGCAGCTCACGTGAGGGTGTCAGCTAACGTATGCCTCCCTGCTCCTTATACTCAGCTGTGGGGTTCTAAGGATGAGCCCCACTCTAGTATTCCACAGTTACAACCTACTAATACGTCATGTTTGGCCCACATATTATGCTAAAATAAAATATTCGTTGTTATCGTACAGAAATATCGAGATAGCCTCTGAGGGGATGAGGGCTCTCAGCACAGACCCCTTAGTAGGCCCGCAGTACCCCCAATACTAGGGATTCGCAACACTCCATCGTGTGAAAGAACTTGCATTCCTACTAGGTCTCCCAGTTGCGTTTCTCTTCTGCGTTTATCTTATCGCTGGGGTCAGAAGACGCAGAGCGGCGTGCATTGACTGGTGGATCGATTGGCGTGAGTGGGATCAGTTTCCGACGTCCCTATCCCTAGGGCCCCAAACTCCCCTGAGCTCGCCTTCTGTAGGGGAATTTCTCACAGCCAGCTTGTAGCTCCTTATTGTTTCACACATCTGAGAAGCGGTGGTTCAGCTTTTACCACTTCTAGTTTTGGGTTTCGTGGCGATTACCTTCAGCAAGCACTAGAACAACAGCAGGAGGACTATATTCCCACAGCTCAAGCATCTCCTTCCATGAGGCTGAAAGTTGTTGTTGCTTATTTTGCGTTACAACAATTGCTAGACTAATATTAGGGCGCAACAGAATTGCATGCCATAGGCTTGAAAGCATACCCGAGCTGGGTTTGATCCCCTCATACGTTAACATCGGCAGAGGAGGTTGCGTTCTACCCTCCTGCAGCAGCTTTACTTTGCTAACGTTTACGGTTGAAGCACGAGCAAGTAATTTGGCGTAAGGTGCGGAAAGCCTCCACTAGTTTTCGGCCATTCATATGTCTCCTGGTGGGACAAAGTGAATGCAGTCCAACCACCAGCAAATCTGCCACTGGTCTCTCAAAGGCTGCGCATTCCAATGCAGCACTCTCGAGAGCCGTACGTGCATTGAGTCTGCCCCCGCTTATGTACCATTTTCCGCAGCAGACGTTTAGATGCCTGCAGCGCTTACAGATAGTTGGATTGTCCGCGAGGGCATGGGAGCGGTCACATAGCATTAACTGGCTTCAATCCTACAAATTTGGCTTTTCGAGAAGCAAGAAGGCAGGTATAGCTTCTCCCGGATCTTTGCTGTCCATTGACAATCGGCGAATTGCTTGTATTAGCGAGTGGACGCGAAGGCTAGCTGAGCAGTGAACTAATCCGGAGCAATCTTCTCGGCGGCTGGTGTATTCCTCAGTTACGCAGCCGAGTGGAAGAGATTCGTGTCCAAATTAATACTTCCACATTGACCGTACAAACTGTAAATGTCGCAGGCTGAGAAGAGTCGGAGAAAGCCTTATTGGGGGCTGCAGTGCCCGCAGTAATGTCCTTAGAAGTAGGACGGTCCAGGGTGGAGGCATTATCGCGTCCGGCTGCGTCGAGCTCTTCATCCCTTCACATGGGCGTGAAAGAAGAGTGACGCCTTCAAATTATCTATTCCTTTCACCATTTCTCCAAAAATCAAGCGTGGGGCGCCAGGCATAAACCGAACACGGTGGTTCAAAGGTTGCCGCAAACGAGTCAGTAGCATCGAAAAGGCGAATCAATGAGGCAGCAGGAATGATGCAGCTAGCATGAACACGCTGAAACTGCTAGTGTTGGGATGAAACATCCTGTCGCTTGGCTTGGATGTCAGCATCAGGAACGCGCTGCCTTTCACTGAAGAGACATGCCTTCACACCCCTTCCATCCGCTGAGTTTGCAGTCGCAGTGCGACTTGCTGCGCAAGCATGCGACGGCTTGTGCAATTTGAAGCGCCTCTAGGGGCCTCACAAATATCTGAGAAGGTAAGGGAGAAGGATGAGGCATTCAATTTTGATTTGAGACCTTTCTTAAGAAGATGGACACGCCAACACATCGCTCAGAAGTTCTGATATCACCAGGACAACCAACCGGCTGTAGCAGTCCCAACGGTGTCCCGCTTACCAGCCTCTAAAACAGACTTCCCTGAGCTGTGCTGCACGCTTGCTGAAAATAACTGCAGCAAGGTAACACATAGTTAGGCTTCCGCAGATGTACTGAAGTACGATTTTCTATCGCGCTGCGCTGGTTGTTCAACAGCGTCGTCGGTTAAATGTATGCCGCCACGCCGCTAGGGTGCTTCTAGCAGACTACGTACGATGCACTGCCTCATCATCAATATGCATTTAGCCTGCCCTTGATAAAAACGGATGAAAACACTCACCTGCATTGCTGCTGCCATTCCTCTCAGTGAAACTCCGCGGTCCTTTTGCCTGTACGCTTCCGGCGTCTGGAGCAGCAGATGAAGGCACGGTATTTCTGCACTCTTAGCCAGAAGCTGCTGGTGATGCTGCTGCTGCTGCTGAACTAGAGCATCCGGAAGCTCCCGTGCCGTCTTGCTACCGTTCGATGGTAGCGAATGTCTCCTCTGCCCCGGTGGGGTTGCTGACCGAGTAGTCCCCCCCTGCCTTGTAGCACTATTGATGTGACCGCCCGGCGAAGCGACCTGACCGGAAGACTCTGTCGCTAAAGAAACCAAGGTTCCAGAAGCTTTAATCAATGGCACCGCGACAGTTCCTCTTTTTTTAGGACAATCCTGCTGTCGTGGGGTGAGATTCCCTTGCACCTCCTGCTGAGGATCCGATTCCCGGTGGGCTTTCTTTGACTGTGCGCTATCCCGCTTGGTGGTTTGAAAGTGTCTTCCGCGTTGGGAGGCCACCTGTGCAAAAAAAAATGTGGAAATACAGCCGAGGCCTCCTCCAGTTAAGCACGCTATGAAGGTCATTTTGCACGCGGCGTCCGACCAGCTCAACAATCGTGAATGGCGGCGATCAACACTTGACGGTTCACGGGCTTGTACAAACCGTAACAACCAGAGCACCCCCCGCTTGGGTCGCTACGCGATAGTCGCCGACACAGACAGACGTCCAGACAGTCGGTCGCTCACTTGAGCTTCGCCTTGGCATTGGCAGCAGAACTTGTTGTTGATGTTTACAGCGTCTCTGCTGATGTTTCGGAAGAAAAATTCGAGAGCTGAACAGAAACAGCTGAATCTCAGATTCACGCATCTTCCGTATCCAAACAACGAATGTGGAGCGTGGAGCATTCGGCCCCCCCTGAACATAGGTGATGTCCCTAGGTGTATTCGAGACCAACTGCATCATTTGTTGCTGTCATCTCATGCGAAAGGATATCTGCGTCACCGCTTGCTATTATCTCATGCAAAAGGGCAGTGGGGAAGTTCCAGCGGCGCGGTGTTTATTTTCCCTGTAGTCTAAGAGCAACTCGCGGTCTTGTCGAGTGCGGTCTACCCCAGCTCAATAGAGGCTGGTCCTTTCGTTAGCTGACGCCTCACTAGAAAAGCTGAAAGCCCAACGGAAGCACTGCTGAGGACGAATGCATACATAAAATCAAATGACGCACCCGAATCGGAAACTATGGGGTGCCCTAAAGCAAGGGCAGACGCGGCGCACGCAGCGGCTTCTCTCGCGGCAATCGCCTCCGTCACTCCGTTTGCTTCAGTACCACCAGGGGCTTCAGGATTTGCTGTGACGTCTAGAATTTTCGCGCAGCTGCTGGTTCCACCTCCGCCCGCTGCTGAGGTGATACTCCCTTCCGCTATCAGCTTTGCAGAAGCGCTGGCTGCTCGGTGCTTCAGAAGGTTCGGGGAGACAGGGGAGGTTTTTGTAGACATCCCTGGAAACGAATTAGGGGCTTCATTGTACCTCAGTAGTTCCCCTTGAGAAGCCTCGTTCCTATGGAGTGGTGGCTGAATGGATTTGGTTTCGGGAGATTTTTGGCAGATAGAGAGTGTCCCATGAAACCCCGGAGAACACTGCTGGCTGGATGAATCCTGTTCTGGGGTTCTTTTTGCACTGACTGCTGGATCGACTTGAGCAACCCAGCGGGCAGATGGAGCTTCGGCACTATCATGCACTCCACCCGTTGGTGACTCGGTACTGAGTTGCTTCTGTTGCTGGGCTCGAGAGGGCTGAAGCTCGCCTTGCTGCTGCGATGAGGCCGCCTGGTGTCGCTGAGTTCGGCGCTGCTTCTGTTGTCGCAGCAGCTGGTAAGTGGCGTGGTTAAGCACCGCCGTATGCGGTTGAAAGCACAGAAGGTTGCGTGTGAATCGGTCGAAATGGCCTAAAAATGCGTGAACGGCTAAGGCACACTAACTGTTAGAGTTCCCGCTGCGGAGCCCCACCCCCGTCACAGCCAACACGAGTGACACCTGGATTCTTTTTGAAGCTGGCAAACAGGCAAGGGCAAAGGAAACGGCATACTGGCAAGCGAGATCGATGAAGCGTCAATGTACTCCTCCATCTGCTGCGAGAGAAAGGGTGAGAATGTAAGCGGAAGAAGAAACCGATTCATGCCGGACGACGCCTCTCCGGCGCCTGTATTGTTCTCTGCCGATGCGAAGTCGCCGCTGCTTTGCGTGGCCTGAACATCACACGGACTTCCCTATACATTTGCAGGAAACGAAAAGAAAGCAGCAGGAAAGTTTACACCGCGCTGAGCTGCCCCTTACGTCTCTCTGGTGCAGCAGTTCCAGCCGTCGTATGCGCTCTTCTTGCTTCCCAATGCGCCGCTCGAGGTGCTGCAGCAGCAGTAACCCAGTGACGCGGACTGCATCTAGTACACCTGCGCAAGTGAAACACAGCCCAGATTCAACGAAGCTCTAAGCCTTTTTTAAAAGCCGTAATGCGGGCCAAATTGAAGACTAATGCGTGTACAGAGCGCAAAAGTCGGCTAGCAGGAGTAGCAGACGGTGGGGAAAGCTGGATTATATGTGTTTAGGCAGCAACCGGTGCAGAACGTGAGCCGGGGATGATGGAAAAAGGGTTGGAGAGCATTTCTGTATTCGCGCCCCTTCACCGCACTACCGATGTAGGAGCATCTGCTGCAGCAACGCCCACAGCAGTGCGAGAGCACTTAAAAGACGGATGGCGTAGGGGACGTATGGTTACAGCTCACTAGGTGGCATGTGCTTAAACAGCTCGGACTTGGAGATGGAGAAAACCTGAGTCTTGGCGGAGAACGCAAAAACAGAAAACGGCTCTGGGGAATCAAAAAAGAGGGAGCAGAAGTTAACTATGCATCCTTCCTGCAATAGCGCCAAGTCTAGCTCTTCAAGCAACACAGACGGCTGAGCGCTCTTCTCATTTCTAGGGGAGCTATTCAGCTCAGGCAAAACCGCCGTCTCCTGGTCCCAGGTGCCGCTGGCCGCAGCAGCTGAGGGCGGCAAAGAGTTTGTGCGGCTTCCTGGTGTGCCAGGACGGCCGTTCTCTCGCACCTGAAGCCCATCGGAAAGCACCCCGACAAACACTTTAAGAGCTCAGCAGCATCTTACAGAGATTCATAGGCCCCGCGCTCACGCAGCAGATTTCAAGGGGGAGTGGAGAAGCTGTAGACGCCAGCAATCGAAGGGAGCAGTTAGTCACTTAGTGCTGTTGGCGGCGGGGATTGCTGCTGTTACGGTCGGTCCTCTGTGCAGCCGAGAGCCGTTTGTGAGCAAGGCGACAGGGGCTGGATCTGTGAGCAAGGGGAATACGGAGGTGGAAAACAGACAGAAAGCCCTGCAGCAGCCTTACAGCTTTTTCACGCTGCTGGCGGATGGCTCGAGAAACCACCTGGCCTTCAAGCAGCGCAAAAGACAATCCTTCTCCACTTCACCAGTTGGGCCAGGCTCGTCCGTGTGCCTTGGGTTACGAAAGGCGGGATTGACAGCCGGTGAGATGATCCTGAGTCTTATTCTACTTTGTTTAAACACCATCCAAGTTTAGTTGAAAAATGAATGTAATATACGTTCGCCAGATAGATGTGTGTCCATCCACCGGAAAACAGCCTGTTTGCACTTAGTGCTGAAGCTGCTGGTTGCCATGTTAGACAGAGAGTGCAATACCTTCCATACCACTATCGTACATACAGTATCCACCTGCTTCCCCCCCCGTGCCGCCTGCTACCCTTTCCCTCACTGACTGATGGAATCCACAGCGGATTGGGCCTCGGACGCTCCAGCGCAGATGGAGTGAAAGTCGCCGACATATCTTCTGCAGTGTCAAGGCGAGACAGAAAAAGCGAACAATAACAGCTCGAGAGCGATAATGCATGAGCCATCGCCGACCGCCGAATCTAGAGTACAAGCTACCTCAAGGTTGATTCAGCTGCTGCCAGTAATAAATCCTACCGCCGTCGCGTCCTCAGAACGCATTCGCCTGCAGCACCGCATATAAAGCTGTAGCAGGGTTTTACGGCGTGCTCTAACAGGTCACCTATGCTTTTGCAGCAGTTCCGCTTCGCCACTTAAGAGCAGCTTGTGAAGCTGCATTTTCGTTTTCTTGGCTCCGCGAAAGTAGTTGAGCGCAACGTAAAGGCATGCTCCGGACACAGGAGGAAGCTATCTAGCCTACCCTTGACGATAAGATAGAGCGTATCCTCCCTATTGCCTTCTGTGCTGAGTGGTACGTCCTTCTGGAGAGTCGCTTCTTTAAAGAAATAAGTCAGCTGTTCCACCACCAGCTTGCGAAGCTCTTTTGCCCCAGGCAACACCTGCCGCAGGGTCTGGACCTGCAGTGACGAGGTGTACAGCGAACTTAGTTAAGGATTGCCGCGGCGGACTGTAAAATACTAGAGAATTGGCACAAGAAAAACAAGGCAACTCCGAAGCTCCGTTGCCCTACGTCTCAGGGTATGAAGTGCATGGTTAGTCCCGTTCTAGCAAAAGCAACAATTGGGAAGCCTAAATCGAAGGTGCTGCTGTATAGTCTGTCTACAGAACTACAAAATTCATGTGCCTCAAAAGGGGTGAGGGCGTGGAGAAATAAAGAAACTAGAGAGGCAGAAGCGTATCTGGAGCTTCCCTAAAAGTGGAGACACGGCAGCGGTTGCTTTCCCACTTTGTCATCTGTCTTTTGCTTCAAAAAGTTGCCGAGACAGTGCTGAAATGACTTCTTGTCCAGAGTCAGGAAGAGCGAGTCACTGTGTGTCACCAGCGCAGCGGAGCGCACGTCATTGCGGATGAGCCCTGGGTCACAGCCAAATAAGCGCGTGCGCTGGCAACAACTGTCTGCGGGGTCTTCGCACTCTTTCGTGAATATGCTGAACTATTGCCAGAAGCCAAGTGGTTTTATGGTAGATTCGCCACAACACGACTGCTGCCTGTTGCTGCTTCTCTTTCCTCAACCTCAGTAACAGTTGCGTCGAAGGTAAGCCGCAAGCAGAGCGTAACGGGCGGGGGAGTCGATGCACTTGCCCAGCTCTCCAAACGAATGGCCTTCGCCAAGCACTGCCACACAGCTGTTTTTGTCTACACGCCTCTCGCGCGGAGTGTCGCTGGATGCTGCAGGCAACAATAGATTTGTCCGCTGGTGTCAAGCAGATGCAGCAGATATGCAGAAAGACCGGCGTACATCTCTCAAGTGGCTGCATATTAATCTAACTGTCTAGCGTAACACCTTTAACGACTTCAGAGGAAGACAATGTTGTTTTTAGGGGTAATACAGAGTCTGAGGGGACATTTTTATTTACTCTGTCCTTGTTTTGGAGACAACTCCCCTTGATCTGCTCCTTCGCGTTCCGGCGCATCTTTTAGCTCCTCAATGTACACCCCAGCTTTGCCGGCAAGAATGAGATACCAGTTGTCGGCTGACAGCATACCAATGAAATGCGCGCACAGTTGCCGTCGTGGAAGCCGTGCCGCAAGAGGGTGCGCGCAAACATCTTTGAGTCCAGCTCCACTAAGCTACCTCAGCGCAGTGAGGGCTAAGCCATTCAACGTTTGGCGCTGCAGCCTCATCTGCAGCAACTAAAGCAATTCTCGTGTACTGCCATTGGATCAGCGGCAGTGACTGCTGGGAGTGCTCTGGAAAGTGGACAAGGAGCGCAGTGAAGAACAGGAAAGACAAAGGGACTCTAACCCGGATCTCCTTTGTAGAACACCACTCTGTCTTGCTTGAGTGTAGTGTATGTCATGTGCCGGCAGAGCTCGAGGGACATCTCAGCATCCAACTCCGCAAAGAATTTGTTGTCTCGCACCAAGTCAAAGATGCATTCCACCTGTGCGTCCGCCCACGCCGCAGTAGCACACGAGCACCAGAGGCCGAGTAATCGCAGGGGCCCTGTTGATGCTGCAATAATTTCTTATAAGACGATGTAGACACTCAAATGGCGTAGCTAGACACCTTAAGTGCAAATACGAGGGTATCCGTCGCTGCTCTTCAATTTTGCATATAGGGGAAACCCATAGTCATAGAATAGTGTATCGTGTGGTCCTGAACTTTACATTTTCTCTGCTTCTTTCAGCTGGGGGTAGCTGCAAGAGTTCCAGCGTTGCTGCAAACTGTTCATTCGTGGCAAACTGCTCCAGGGGAACTCTGTCCTCATCCTCCTTCGTCTCATCCTCATCGGACAGCTCTGAGCTGAGGTCTGACGAACAGTCAGATATCTCAGGGTTCGCAAGCGGTGGCATTTCGGAAGATCCCAAGCCGAACGCCTCAACGCTTACGCCGAAGAAAGGTACCCTCTCACGCCGAAGGCCTTAACGCTCACCCCGAAAACGTTTACCCTCTAAACCCTGAACACGAGCTAGCGGGCTAGAAGGGGGACTTCCGCTTGCCTCATACAAACAATTTGGGCAGTGCACACTGCCAAGATAAACTTAAATTCAACGGGTTTCTTCAGGGATCATAAATGCTTGGGGCAGAACTTCTAGAACGCGCGCTTAAGAGACCAGTGTGCGAGATTCAGGTATAGGAAAGTGTATATATCCGTACATATAGAAGTGCACGTCTGTACTTGCATGCAGCAAGTTTTACGCTTACATGCATAAAAAGCTCTATTCAGACGTACACACAGACAGGCTAGAGGCCGGATATGGGGATAGTATGGGGTCCCCTGCACGGCGGCCGCTCTCGTGCTGGCTGTTAAGCGCCTCTCTATTCACGTGGGTGAAACGGAATAAACGTGTAAACTATCTGCTTAGCTGCTAATTACTTCCGGTTGCCATGAGCCAGTTTGTCTGCAACAAGAGAGGTGTTAACGGAGGAGGCAACGGCTGGACGGGAGCTGCGAGGGTCCAGCGGGCACCGCCGGCGCGCCAGCCTGCGTTAAGGGTTGAAAAAGAAGGTAATTTGATACTATGATTTAAATTTAAAATTTTAGGGTGACCATAAAATTGAGTTTGAATTAAGGGCATCCTAGCATAAAAGCCCAGTGAGAAGGTCTACGGGGCCCCTCTAGGCCAAGCCGCTCTCCTGCTCGGCGTGCACCGGGGGCTAGTGCTCTGCAGCAAAGGGCTCCGAAGATAGGACCCATCTAAATAAATACATTTCATAAACACGTTGTGCATACTACTGCAGTGTGCTGGAGGCAAGAACATCTATTCGTTTGTACATTCGCAGCTACAGTAGCGCCAGCTCGAGCTGCTCTGCTTGCGGGGCTACCTGGAGCAGAGTTGCTCAGCCCCAGCACAGAAAGGTATTTAATTAAACCTCCAGCTATGCGGCTCGCTTGGATTGAAACTCAGGTGTAACCTCATTTTTGCACAGCATAATAGTTCAACAATGTATGACTGCTGCAGAATATCTTCATTTTCGCGTAGAGAGCCGACGCCATGCTGACGGAAGTCGGCTGTAGCAGCAGCACCACCGAGGCAGCGTGCATAGTATAGCGGCAGAAAAACTTGTTAGGACTGCTCAACGAATATGCACCCAGTGCTGCATATCTGACATCTACGCTTCTATGTATTAAATGAAAATTAGAAGGTTGTTGCCTAAAAGAAACTTGAGTATTTTCCGTGAAGTGAAACGTTCTGTCAGTCCTACCATCGGAGACTCGTGTTGCAAGGTGCAGCGTTGAACAGTATTACTTCGTGAGCATAATAATTTATTATTACTGCTAATTGTGAGACACTTGAAGTCATGTGTGCCTCTAGATGCATGCAACACACACAGTGGGCCGTCGGCGGCCACTGTGAAGCACACTTGTGCTGAGAATGCTTGCAGGATTCGTATTACCCGCGGTGTTTGGCTTCTCTCCCTCTTGCTTTTATCTTATTAACGTTATACCCTGATTATCCACTGCTGGTGACTATTTACCTCGCTAGAATAGTTTGCTTGGCCGTCTGCACTTCTGCGTGAGGTGTACGCCTGATATGCAATCCTCATGCAATGTTGTTGGCTCACCTGTCATGGGGCGGTATGAGGAATACCTCAACTTATTTGAATTCAAACTCTTAGCACTGTCAGGTTCCTTGACCCACAAGTGAGGCACAAAAGAGAAGGAAAATTGTTGAGGCCTTTTGAGAATTAATGTACGCAGAATACTTCTCTTTGTCTTCAGATATTTGTGATGAATTCTGCGCCCTTCTACTTGTTTGCTTATATTGTTGGTCGAGCAGCTCGTCTCAGTGTTATTTCAGGGTTGCTAAGACGTATAAATAATAAACATTGGCTACATAATGCATTTATTACTTTATAAGGAGTGATGAATCAGAATCAATACAGTGAAGCGTCGTTTCACGTATAGTGACTCACGCGTTTCCCCTCCCCCTCTGCCTGCACGCTGACTTCACAAGTATTCTACACATATTTTCTTTTTGCATGTAAACCCAGGAAAAGATATGCACGGAAACTCGTGCACTTCCTCATACAGACGGAGGCGCACTGCGGCTCCACCTCCTCTCACTATGTTAGTAAACGTCTCCTGTAACTCTTCTGTATTACGTTAATATGCGTTTTCTCTATGCTGCTAATCTGCGCAGCCTCTATTACATCAATAACTGCATATTTGCTGATGCGTGTAAACAACAGACGAATGCTGGTCTGAGTGCAACGACTCAGTGCGCCGGCTGCTGCTGCTGCTGCTGCTACTCTTTGTTGAGGATGCACATACAGAGGCGAAGACAAACTGTAGTCCTACTCTGTAGGCGTTGCAACGACTGCTGCAGCAGCAACTACTGGAGCACGTGCTGCAGATACTGCAGCGGCAACTGCTGCATCCACTGCTGCAGCACCTCCAGCAACTGCAGCAAGAACTGCAGCAGCAACTGCAGCTACTGCAGCAGGATATCCGCTCAGTGCGTTCTTCTGAAATCCGTTCAAACAGTTTGTGTTGGTGTCCTGCTGCTGTTAGAGGGCCTTCACGCCCTGTGGTTCCGCCTCTGTCCTCATCTGCTGCGGCGCGACGTCAGGCGTCTGCTGCTGCTGCTGCTACTGCTCCTGCTGCTGCTGTTCCTCTTCTGAGTCATCGTTCTTGCCTTCGGTCTCCCTTAGCCTGAGCGGAGGTGGTGCAACAGGCTGCTGTCCCTCCTCCGCTTCCTGCTGCTGCTGCTGTGGTTTCTCTGGCTGCTGCTCTTCCTGCTGTTCTTGCTGCTGTGCCTCTTCCTCTTGCTGTTGTTGCTGCTCTTGTCGCTGCTGCTGCGTTGTTGTGCTGCTGCAGGCCTTGAGTGCGTACTGGAAGACGGCCTGCTTGAGGGGGGTACAGGCCTGTAAGCAGGCAGAGATGAATGCCCACAGCTCAGCAAATGTTATGTTGCTGCCATCTGCAACCTCCAGAGGCACGCTGCTGCAGGCCCCCACGATGCTGCTGCTGCTGCTGCTGCTGCTGGTGTTGCTGCCGCTGCTGCTATTGCTGCTTCTGTGACTGCTGCGGGGGTGAAAATGCAGCTGTCTGGCGGAGAATCTGCCGCTCCTGCTGCTGCTAGGGAGGCTGGAACCCTCTGTCTCGGTGTCGTCGTCAGCTGCGGCAACAGCAGCAAACAGCCCCTGCTGCTCATCGAGGCCCCACGCTGCATCTAATGCCTGCAGCACCGCCGGAAGGTCTTCTGCTGTCAGTCTGCAGGGCTCCTGCTGCGGCTGCTCCTCCTCCTGCTCCTGTTGTTGCTGCTGTTTCTCCTCCTCCTCCTCCTGCTGTTGCTGGTCCTGTGTCTGAGCAGACCCCTGGTCTTTATCCTGCTGCTCCTGCTGCTCCAGCTGCTCCTGCTGCTCCTGCTGCTCCTCCTGCTCCAGCTGTTCCTGCTGCTCCAGCTGCTCCTGCTGCTCCAGCTGCTGTTGCAGCTCTTGTAGGTAGTTGTAGACGCAACGCTCGGCCTGGGGCCTGAGCGCCTCGAATGCCCTCCAGCCCCTCTCCTCACGGACCTCTGCAGCCATTGCTAAGTAAAATGGCAGCTCGGAGTGCCGCAGATGTTCACCTCGGACGCACGAGTTTGCTGCTGCTGCTGCTGCTGTTGTTGCTGTTGTTGCTGCTGCTGGTGCTCCTGCGTTGGAGGCGCAGCAGGCCTTCTCGTACGCCTCTGCTGCCTTTCCCTGACGCAGCAAATACTGCGCAAGCCAAACGAGAGGATCAAAGCGGTCTTTAAGGCCCTGACCCAGAAAGAGAGAAGGGCCATTTGTAGTTGATTCCTGCTGCTGCTGCTGTTGCTGCTGCTGCTGCTGAAGCAGCAGACTCTGCTCGTACTGACGCTCATCCGCCTGCAGCTGCTCCACAAAGCTGCACAGCGCCGCCAAACCGCTGTCCAGCAGCGGCAGCAGCCGCTCACACAGGTACAGCTCGAGGGCCTCGTGGGGGGGCCTGCCTACAGCAGCAACAGTCTCGCGAGCCAAAGCCCCCCAAGAAGGAGCTGTCGCTGCTATTGTTCCTGCTGCTTCTGCTCCTGCAGATGGCGCTCCATCGACCCCAGCAGAAGGAGAGCCACAGATAGACTCAAGCAGGGTACAGACAGACACGGAAGGGTCTAAAGCGTCCGCGAGGCCCTCAGCCCCAGCAGCCGCAATATCTGCTGCACTGTCTCCTGTGCCCTCTGCAGGGGCACCCCGTGGGTGACCCCCATCTTTGCTCGTTTCGGGGTAGTGCGCCGCTCTGCTGCTCCGCACCTGATACAGCAAATACTGCGCAAGGGCCATCCGACGTTTCAACTGGGTCTGGGGCCCCCCAAATGGGCTCCCAGAGGGGCCCCCAGAGGCGTCACCCTCCGATACGGGGCCCTCAGCTACCATCGCCAACTTGAGGGCTTTGACCCTAAAACAGGGGCCCGAACTCGTCCGCTTTATAACTGAAACTGAATTCGTTTTTTTATCTATGGAGAGTGAAGGGGCCCAACTACAGGCCTCTGTTGTTGCTGCCCCTAACAAGCTGACGGCCTCAACCCACAAGTACGGGGATCTTCCTAGCACCTCATTGTTTGGTAACGGGGGCCCCCAAGGTCTCCACAGAAATTCGACGGGAGCCCCCAGGGCATCAAGCTGCAGTCAACGGGGGCCCCCAAGGCCTCGACCTACAGGGGAGGGGGGGGGCCCAAAAGCCTCGAACAGCAGTGCAAGGGGGCCCTTGGGGACTGAAACCACCAGCTGTATGTTGGTGGCTTCGTGAGGCAACCAGGGGCCCTAAGGCCTCATCCCCAATTATGGGAAGCCTCGACGGGGGATCTCCCCTAAGCGAAGAGTAACATAACTCGATCAGAGTAAAAAGCTCTAAAGACAGCAGAAGTAGCAGCAGCGGCTGCAGTGGCTGCGGCAACAGCAGCAGCAGCAGCAGCAGCAGCAGCCTCAAGGTCACAGGCGATTTACGAAGGTCGGGTGGAGTTGGGGTGTCTCAGCAGGTCGGTGGAGCCGCGGAAGAGGCGGAACCGTTTTAGTTTTAATTGAATAGTAAATGAAAAAGAGTTTGAAATATATTTCCTTAAAATAAATGCGCAGGAGGGACGGGCACAACACAAACAATCTGGGGCTGAGGTGACCCGCTGAGCCTCGCGCACCGCTGCTGCTGCTACTGCTGCTGCTGCTACTGCTGCTGCTGCTGCTGTGGATGCTGATGCTGCTGCTGGAAAGGAGCAGCTCACCTGTAGATTTTGATGAAATGTATTTTGATTTATGCATATTACAAATTCAAATTGTTTATGGGAAAACTCCATGCGGTTGTAAACCCCCAACCGCACACCGGCGGGGCCGAGCACAGCGGCGAAGGAGGCCTTCAGGGTCACCTCCACAGCAGCAGCAGCAGCAGCTCCAGCAGCTGCTGCTGCAGGAGTGCACGCAGCAAAGCTAAAGAGCTGCCCTTTCTGTCTTAGGCTGCAGGACACGCCGCCCCAGGCGCTCCCCAGACAAACAACTACAGCCACAATTAGATCCCAAGACAGAGACCGGCAGCCGCCGATCCTAAACCGTAAAACCTCAACCCAAAACCCTAAACCCTAAACCCTAGGCCTAAGGAACTCATCGAGACACGCGAACTCAAACGCGAGCCCGCGTAAAGAATGAAATGCTGATGAGCAAGCAGCAACAGCAGCAGCAGCAGCAGCAGCAGCGGGAGCAGCAGCAACTGTTGCAACGATATGGGGTTTGAACAACCGCATTTGCCTCGGTACTGCTTAGTAGGAACAATAGCAGGGACGCAAAAGCCATAGATCCCCTCAAGGGCTGCCACAGCATCGCTTGCTGCAGCAGCAAGATCCGCAACAGCAGCAATTGCAGCAGCAGCAACTGCAGCAGCAGCAACTCCAGCGGCAAGTTAGGGCATCCCCAACATACAAAATGCACTTCGGGGTCGGGGGAGAAGACACCCTCCTGGAGGCCAGATGGAAGATCCAATCAGGCACTAAACCCTAAACCCTAAACCCTAAACCCTACACCATAAACCTCAAACCCGAAAACCTAAACCCTAAACCGTAAACCCTAGGCCCTAAGCCATAAGTCTCAAAACATAACCATAAGAAGGTTCTAACGGACTCCAGTAGTCCGTGCATGAGCAGCAGCAACAGCAGCAGAAGGAGCAGCAGCAACAGCAGCAGCCGCAGTGCTGCTCCTGGGTGTCGCTGCTTAAGTATTTGCTGCTGCTGAATCGATTTTGGTTTGCAGCAGTAGCAGCAACAACAACAACCGGGACAGCAGCAGATGCAGCAGAAAGCAGAACTCATAGATACGCAGCAGCAGCGTGGCAACATACATCACCACAAAGCTTAACCACCTGTAGAGAAGCAAAGCGAACACCGACAGCAGCACCGCCAGCAGCAACAGCTGCACCAGCAGCAGCATCAAGAGCAGCAACAAGAGCAGCGATGCATTCGTTTGCTTCTGCGCGTCTCAGGGGCCATCCGACAGCTGCAGCGGACGTCGAACGCAGCGACGCGCCGGGGGTTTATGTTTTTCTCGCTGCAGCAAAATGGGCATCGACAGACCCACAGGAGCCAATACACTGCAACTCCAGGGTCAGCGCAGCATAAGCAATAGCGTTCAGATATACTAGGGTTTAGGTTTTAGGGTTGAGGGTTCAGGGTTGAGGGTTTACGGCAGTCGTCGCAGCACAAGCATCGGCTTTCAAAGACAGAGGCTACACACAAGTGTACAGGGTTTAGGTCCTAGCGTGTAGTGTGTTTGGTTCCTAGGGTTTAGGGTTTGTGGGTTAGGGTTTAGGGTTTAGGGTTTAGGGGTAGTCCAGAGGAGGCACATTGAAGCAAAACGCAGCTCACACAAAATAACAGCGCAACGCACACCGTAAAAATAAACAAACAAATAAACAAAACAATAAACATTACTGCAGCCAGTAGCGCACAGAGGGCCCCTACGTACTTATGGGGGCCCTTAGAAGAACCCTGTAGAATGAGGCACCTCCGAGCCCAGGGGCCCCCTAGCTTGGGGGCCCCTGGGGGCCTCTTAAGTTAGGGGCCCCTGGGGGCCCCCTGGGTCAGCGAAGGTGCGCTGGATCGGCAAGGGGGGATAGCAGGGAATTGAAAAGAAATGAATCGATGAAAAGACGGCAAAGAAACGAGTTTATTTATTCATTTATTTGTTTGTTTGCTTATTTTTCCTTCTGTTTATTAATTTGTTTGTTTGTTTATTTTCCCTTCTGTTTATTAATTTGTTTGTTTGTTTGTTTGTTTGTTTGTTGCAGTAGACATTCGAGACGCAGTCACAGTCAAGTGTGGGGTGAGCCTCCACAGGGGCATTTTTGCTGTTGCTGCTGCTAGTGCTGCTGCTGCTGGTGGTGCTGCCGCTGCTAGTGCTGCTGCTGCCAGTGTTGTTGCTGCCAATGCTGCTGCTGCTAGTGTGGATGCTGCTGGGGTTGTTTGACGGCTCCTCGGCAACTGCAGCAGCTGCAGCAGCAGCAACAACACCTATACAGCTGCATCGAAGTCCTAGAGGACTCGAATAATCTGTTGCACTTGCTTTGTTTGCGGCTGCTGCTGCTGCTGCTGCTGCGGCTGCTGCTGCTATTTGCTGCTGCAGGGGGAAGTGGAGCTGCCGATGAGCGCCCGCTGCTCTCAGCTACGCGCGCCTACGGGTAAAGCCGCATATTTTGTTTGTATGCTTTTGTTTGGTTGGCTGCATGCACATCTGCTGCCTATTATATACTGTTTGCTGTCTCTGTCTCCTCTTTTTATCCCCATTATCTTTCTCCTTCCTCTGTTCGTTCGAATATGTTTTGTTTTATGGGGTGATTGCAAGGGGCTGCGGCAGCAGCAGCTGCAGCAGCAGCTGCAGCAGCAGGTGTTCGCTGCTGCAGCGGGTGCTGAAGGCTGCAGCAGCAGCAGCCACTGCTGTTAACTGCTGTGGGTTGCCGCTGCAGGCGCAGCTCGAGTTCACGAGGCACTGTGGCCTTTCCGGCAGCATCAGCAGCAGCAGGAACACGAGCAGCAGCAGCAGCAACAGTGGCAGCAGCAGGGGGTTCTTTGCATGCAACAAAGTCGGCTAGGGGGATCCCTGATGGTTCCTCCTTTACTGAGACGGTGCAGCAGCTGGTAGACGGTCTGCAGCACCTATCAGACCCGTTCCGTCTGCAGCAGCAGATGAAGCTGCAGCGGCACCAGGAAGATGCTGGGGGGAGGCCCAGGGGCTATCCTTACACCGCAGCAACAGCAGCGGCGGCGGCAGACAGCAGCAGAGGTCGATCGAAGGGGAGGCAGGTCTACACGAGCTACAGCAACAGCAGCTACTGTAGCAGCAGCAGAGACATGACAACTGCAAGTGTTGACCGCAAGCAGCAGCGGCAGCTGCAGCTGTTGCTGCAACTGCTGCCGACTGAGGGGCAGCAGCTGCTGCATGACGTCCTTGCTGCAGAGCAGCAGCAGCAACACTGTCTGCTGCTGCTGCTGCGCAAGGCGATGGAGGATGAACGGAGAACAGCAGCAGGAGCTGCAGCAAGAAAAGAGTTTATTGCTGCAGCAGCAGCAGTCGACCATCTGCTGCAAACAGGCCAGGCACCTCCCCCCCCGGCAGCAGCAGCAGCAGCAACAGCAACAGCAGTAACGTCTGCAGCAGCCGCATCAGAAGCAGCTGGGGAGATGACGATCAAGCAACCGCTGCCTCCTCCACCTGATGATCCTTCTTCATCATCATCAGCAGCAGCAGCAGCTGCTGCTGCTGCTGCTTCTACCCCCAGTAATTGTAGCGGGCATCTGCGGGTGGGCCGAGACCCCTCGGGGGTCCTGACCGCACTGCGCAGCAGCCAGAGAAAAGAGGAAGGGATCTACAAGCTGCAGCCCCGCAGCAGCAGCAGCAGCAGTCCTACAGGAAGGGGCTGGAGGACCGAGCAGAGGGCACAGCAGCAGCGGCTGCATACTGCAGCAGAAACCCTCAGGGCCCAGACGCTGCAGCAGCAGTTTGTATTGCAGGAGGAGCTGCTGATGCGGAAGCAGCTCGAGACCCGCCTCCACGCCCTCCTGACGCAGCTGCCCCCCAAGCAGCAACAGCAGCAGCAGCAGCAGCAGCAGCAGCAGCAGCTTGGGGACGCTGCTGCCTTGAGACGTCCCTCTCTCGATGCAGCAGACTCCTCTCCACGGGACTCTGGGCCTTCGCATTTTCCTCTTCTGGCCTCCACAATCGCTCAGCAGCGCCTGAGCAGCAGCAGCAGCAGCAGCAGCAACAGGGAAGCAAGTCAGCAGCAGCAGCACGCGCAGCAGCAGATGCCTGCAGAGAGTGCACAGTCAGAAGACTCTGTAGTTATAGAGGCATTGAGAGAAGCTGAAGAGCTGATGCAGCGGGAGCAGCAGCAAACTGCTGCCTTCAGGCATGCGGTGGATTCGCCTATAGGATACTTGAATAGCCCAGCAGCAGCAGCAGCAGCAGCAGTAGCAACAGCAGCAACAACAGGAACAACCACACCGCGTGCTGCAGCACACTCCCGCTCCCCTACAACAACGGACAGACAGCAGCTGCTGCTGGAGACAAACGCAGAAGTGCAGCAGCAGCAGCACGAGATGAGGTGGCAGCTGCAGCAAGCTGCTGTGCAGCAGCAGCAGGAAATTTTCCAGTCACAGCAGCAGCCTATGGCGCTGCCATCGCCCCCCATGCAGCAGCAGCTGCAGCAACAAGAGCAGCAACAGCAGCAGCCTATGCAGCAGCAGTTGTTCACACTGCTGCAGCAAATGCTACTGCAGCAGCAAACCATTCAGCAGCAGACCATTCTACAGAAAAATCAGATATACTCCTTGCAGCAGCAGCAGCAGCAGCACTTAGACAAGGAGCAGCAGACTGACAAACTTGAGGGTCTGTCTCGGCTACCTTCTCTGCTCGAGTTCAGCAGACAACAGGAACGCATCCGAGCAGCAGCAGCAGCAGCAGCAGCACCGTCTCCGCAGGGCCAGCTGCAAGGAGAACAACTGCAGCTGATTGAGCAGCAGCAGCAGCAAGAATTATGCTGGGCAGCAGAACAGCTTGAATACCGAAGCACCGGGCTGCAAGAGCTGCCGCAGCCGCAGCAGCAGCCACAACTGCAATTGCAGCCGCACGAGCAGCAGCAGCAGCGGGAACAGCAATACCAACAACACCAGCTGCAAGAGCAGCACCAGCAACAGCAGCAGCAGCTGCACGAGCAGCACCACCAACAACAGCAGCAGCAGCAGCAGAAGCACATTGACAACAAGCCTGCTCAACAGAAGGAAACAGGAGAACTGCGACCCCTACAAGTGACGAACGGGCAACAGCAGCAAGCACAGGGGGTCTACAGGGTGCAGCAGCAGCAGCAGCAGCAGCCGCAACAGCCGCAACAGCAGCGGCTGCAGCAGCAGCTGCAGCAGCAGCTTCGGTTGCTGCAGCAAGAGCAGCGTCGGGGGAAGCAGCTCGAGCAGCAGCTGCCGCCCCTGCAGAAACGGCTGCAGGGGGAGATAGGAAGGCAACAGGGCACCATGCATCGAGGGGAAGAGCAGCAGCTGCAGCAACAAGTGCTGCAGCAGAATCAGCTAATGGATAAGCAGGAACAACAACTGCAGCAGCAGCCGCAGAAACAAATGCAGCAGCAGCGGCAGGAACAAACACAGCAGCAGCAGCAGCGGACACAAAAAGGGCAGCAGCAGCAGCTGCAACAGGTTATCATCACGCAGCTGCAGCAGCAGCAACAGCTGCGTCAGAACATTCACTGTCTGATGCAGACAGAAACGCAGCAACTTATGCTAGAGGCCTCACAGCAGCAACAGCAGCAATTGCTGCAGCCGCAGCCGCAGCGGCAACAGCCGCAGCAGAAACAGCAGCAGCAGCAACACCAACAGCAGCAACAGCAGCAACAGCAACAACAGCAGCAACAACAAAGGCAACTGCGACAACAGCAACAACAATACCAAGAACAGCAAGGGCGGCAGCAGCCGCAACAGCATCAGGAACAGCAGCAGCAGCAGAAGCAGCAACGGCACCAGCTGCTGCAGCAGGAGCAGCAGTGGCAGCAGCAAGAGGAGCAGGAGCAGCAGCTCCATCTCAGAAGGCCGCAGCCTCAACGCAGTCCCTCAGCACGCAGAACGAAGCGCAAACGCTTCACCGAGGCGCCACAGCAGCTGCAGCACCAGCAGCAGCATCACAGCAGCGGCAGCAGCAACAGAGCAAGAAGCGTTATGGTTACCCTAAAACACAAAGCAGCAGAATCACCAACTGCAGCAGCAACCCCCAAGGGGCCCCCCACCACATCCAGCAAGCAGCAGGGCCCCCCTTCTCCAGGGCCCCCCAGCTTCGGCCCAGGTGGGACCTATTCCCCTCAGAGCAGGAGCTATAGGCAGCAGCAGCAGCAGGAGCAGCCGCAGCAGCAACAGCCGCAGCTATATCACCCACAACGGAAACAATCACAACCACGGCAGCAGCAGCCACAACCACAGCCGCAGCAGCGACCGCAGGAGCTGCCACAACCGCAGCTGCAGCAACAGCCCCAGCAGCAGGAGCAGCCCCAGCAGCAGGCCCAGCAGCAGCCCCAGCAGCAGCAGCAGCAGCAGCAGGACGGACTGGATATATATCATTCCCCCCCTCTGAGCCCTGTCTCCCCTCGGGGGTCCCCCCACAGCATCCGTTTAATTCGAGGGCGGCTGAGCCCACCCCACTGCGGGTCCCCCGCCCCTCAGCAGGAAATAAAGAAAAAGACATTTCAGCCAAAGATGAGGTCCCTTACTGCCTTCGTACCATATGAAGGCAGCCTGCAGCAGCAGCAACAGCTGCAGCAGCAAAAGCAACAGCTGTTGCAGCAGCAGCACCAGCTGCCGCTGATGGATGATGAACTGCAGGCGGAAGGGCAGATGAGCAGGGGCAGCGAGAGAAGCAGCAGCAGCAGCAAAGCCCTCCTCAGTGGGGCCCAGAGCCAGCAGCAGCAGCAGCAGCAGCAGCAGCAGGTCCAGGGATCCCCTACTGCAGTGTATAGGGGTTTCTTTACTGCGAGCAGACGGAGGTGGGGGAGCCAGGGGCAACAAAGGTGGAGCCCGACAGTGAAAAACACCACACGTACAATACAATATGCAGCAGCAGCAATCGAAAATGCAGCAGCCACTGACGCTCCCGCAGCAGCAGCTCCTGTTGCTGCAGCAGCAGCTCCTGTTGCCGCTGCAGTAGCAGACACTGCCACAGTTGCAAAGGCTGCGGGTAAGCAAGGCGCAGGACTAAGGCCTGAAGCGACAGCAGCGCCAGCAGCAGCACCTGCAGCAGCAGCTCCAACCGCTGCAGCAGTGGCTCCAATAGCAGCAACAGCAATTTCAGCAGCAGCAGCAGAAACAGTAGTTCCAGCAGCGAGACCATCAGCTCCACCCGCAAGAGCATCGCGAGCAGCTTCAGCAGCAGCAGCTGCAGCAGCAGCAGCAGAGACCGCCACCGCCGCCGCCGAAGCAGCAGCAGCAAACGCAAATATACTGGAGAGACCAAAAACAAGCCTAGGCAGAGCAGCGCAACGGAGTTACAGCACATACACCTCAACGCCTCGCAGCGTGTCGGGGCCTCCGCCTATTAGAAACCGCGCCCAGACGGTGCTGCCGCCGGCTGCAGCAGCAGGGGCAGCACCGGGAGTAGCAGCAGGAGCAGCAGCAAAAGTAGCAGCAGCAAACGCAACAACAGCAAAAGCAGCAGCAGGAAAAGGCGCAACAACAGCTGCAGCAGACGTCGAAGCTGGCAGCAGCAGCAGCAGCACCAGCAGGAAGAGCAACAGCCAAATCAGAGAAAGTGAAGACAGCAGCAGGCCCTCTGCTCCTGCTGCTGCTTCGGTCGCCCCCAGACCCCACGGAATTCTGCGCGGGAGAGCCTACACTGCAGTCTCTGCTGCTGGGCCGCAAAAGAGCAGCAGCAGCAGCAGCAGCAACGGCAGGCAGCAGCGGCTGTTCACTCAGCAGCTGCAGCGCTGCCCCAGGGGACTTTCTGCGGGAGCAGCAGCCAATAGAGGGGGCAGCAAAGGCAAGGCTGTTCGCATTATCAGCAGAAGCAGCAGCAACTGCAGCAGCAGCAGCAACAGCAGCAGCAGCAGCAACAGCAGCATTATTAGAAACCGAAAGCCAACCCCATACCCCCTGGCTAAGTTGACGTCTGGCCCCCAGCCTGTGGCACAGCGGAATCCTCAGGGGCTCCCCAAAGGCCGTAGCTGCACAGTTGTTGCTGCTGCTCCTCGCAGCAAGAGCTGCAGCAACTGCAGCAGCAGCAGCAGCAGAACAGGTGGACGACTGGCGGCCAATGGCGACGCCACGCCCCAAGTCAGAAGAGCCACAAGCGCTGCTGCTAGAAGGACGGTTAGCAGCAGCAGAGTCAGCAGCAGCAGCAGCAGCGGCTACTGCTACAACTGTGGCAGCAGCACCCACGCCAACAGGGCTGCTGCACAGAGCCGACAAGGCTACACGAAGGCTCAAGCTGTAGAACCACCAACAACAGAAGCGGCTGCAGCAGCAGCAGAATATGAAGCAGCAGCAGCAGCAGAGGCAGAAGAAGCAGAAGACGCAGAAGCAACAGAATTTGTGGAAGCAGCATCAGAAATAGCAGCAGAAGCAACAGAACCAGAAGCAGCAGCAGAAGCAGCAGCAGCAAATGATGCAGAAGACGAGGAGGAATCGGCCCCACCAACGTCACCTCAACCAACGGCCACATCAGCAGCGTTTGCAGAGGCAGAAGCAGCAGAAGCGGCAGCAGCAGAAGCAGCTGCAGCAGCGGCAGGAGCAGCAGGGCGAGAAGCAGCAATAGCAGAACGTGCAGCAGCAGCACCAGCGACAGAAATAGCAGCAGCAGAAAGCGAAGCAGCAACTGGAGGAGCAGCAGCAGCAACAGCTGCAGCAGATGGAGGTACGCTCCGGGGGCGAGCCAAGACCTGCATGGTCCCGTCTCCACGGGGAGACAGCAGCGCCCAGCGGCTGCTGAAATCTCAGTCTGTGG